TTAAAATATTTATTTATAAACTTTTTAATATAATTAATATATTTAAATATAATATTTATTTATATATAATTTATTATAAAATTTAATTATATAAAAAATATATATTTGTACTAGTTAAAATATTAGTTATAATAATTATAATATATACTTGCTCAAACATGTATCACTGAGAGCATAATACTATAATAGGATCAAGAGCTTTTGATACAGAGGAATAGAGGTTTTAGCAATCCATGAGTAGTAAACACACAAGAGATTTTTTATTGCAGACTCGGTTTGGTTACAAACTGAGAGAGTACCTCCTTATATAGACTCGGAGGAGATCTCATATGACTTACCAACAACGAACATTTTACACATGGGCCAATTCTAATTAGTTGACTAAAACTTAAAGATTAATTAAAATGAAAGAACACCATTGAGTATCTATTTGAAAAGTAAAATAAGATTTAAGAATGAATTTTGGATAAATTATAATTTGAAATATACATTTAAAAATAGAAAAATATTGAAAGAAATTCATAACTTTTTTATTTAAAGAAAAATAATTTTTGAAATTGTACGGAAACATTGACAAAGGGGTAAGATAGTCTTTTGATATGCAGGAAAGTAACGGGATACTAGTAGTACTAGTAGTAGAGACTAGAGTCAGTGGGTAGTGGAGATGAAGGTGAAGGTGTAGCATTTTTAACTTAACCGCCTTTGTATTATTGTGTCTTTAGCAGTTTAGCCCCATCCCACCGCAACTGGAGGCGGTGCATGGTAGCCAATTGTGACGTTTGATTTTCATGATAACTTAGCATACTGTTTATGCTCCCCATTCTTTCAAATTTCATTTCCAATTTCGTATTTAAAATAGAAACACACTCTTCTCTCTTCTCTTCCCAATTTCTCCTCTGCAATTCTCATTGCCGACACCAAAACCCTACGTTTTCGTCAAGCGGTGGATCAATTTCTCTGTCCCTCGCCAATTAAGGTATGCTGCTTCTACTTCCGAGTCCGTATTTGTTAAGTCGTGACTAAGAATCATATCTATTACAAGCTATTGTAGCTTAGGGCTCGCATTTTCGTTTCTTCTACATCTCCATTTTTCACACATTGCACAAATTGAATGAGTCGTGAGATGATGCTGTTAATTTCGTGGTCGTGGAGTGTAGGATCGCTTTCTACAAGTGTTCGTTGTGAGAGATGGAGGATGGTGAGCAACCTACCGATAACTCTCACGGCATTGCTGATATGGATGTTGTTGACATCTCTTTGCAAAGTCAACGGGTGTCATCTTCCCCTAATCACAATTCCCCTGCTCAGCTGCAACAGGATCAAGTGATGGCGGAGCAGGGTGATGTTAACAAGAACGGTGATTCTGATCCTAGTCATGTGCTAGAAACCAGTGTAATTAGTGAGAGTCAGTTTGAACTTGAAGATGCTAAGACCGTTTCACATCAGGAACTGGTCACTCCAAAGCCTAAAGAAAAGAATGTAAGAGAAATGAAGAATGTGCTAAATGATACTGAGGTACATTCAGTAAGATATCAGAGCGCTGTGTTTGTTCTTTTGTAGATTGTAATTATCTTGCCTTTCACCCTCGCAGATGATTGAATATGATGAGTATGGCACGCCTCTAGACCGAGAAACATTTATGAAGGAGCTTGAGAATTTCTACAGAGAGCGGTCCTTGGAATTTAAGCCTCCTAAGTTTTATGGAGAGCCACTAAATTGCCTCAAGTATGTATAATATCCCCTGTGACGCCCTGGTGTAAACCCTTTCTCATAAGCATTTTTGAAGGCTAGTTTAAGTGGGCATGATTTCCCTCCTTGATACTCATTTTGAATGTGTTACTTAACTGTTCTGATAGTGGATTCTTTACTTTTCCATGGGCTGCAGATTGTGGAGAGCTGTTATCAGACTAGGTGGTTATGATGTGGTATGGATCAATCTTCTGCTTTATTATTGACAACTCATCCTTTTGTATGCCTATAGGCCATCACCGAGGTTCTTGCATTATAAACTTTAGCATGGTTTACTTCAAACTCAAGGCTGTTGTTAATACCATTGCTAAATAGTGCTATCCTATTCATGCTTTTTGTAAGATAAATGGGATGTTTTCATTGAATATAGATTTGAACATTTTAACAAATGTATAGATGAGTGATCCCAATGATTTCCCTATGTATGATGGCTTTGCTGATACCTCAGGTATACTATAGTTATGCTTTCCTTATGTTTGTTGGCTGAGCTGGTGTTGATATTATCAACATTACTCAAATAATCAGGCAGACACTAGTTGTAACACAAAGAGAACTGATGCTGGGGAACTCAATCATTTTTCTAGTCAGCCCTTAGTCCTCTTGCCAACTTTACGAAGAGCCAATTGTTTAGGATTTTTTATTTATCTAATTTTTTTTTTTTTATAATTTGAAAGATACGGTATGTTCAAATATTTGTGGTCTGACTTGTGGAGACCTGTTACCAGCTTGGGCCTATGCATTTTTGTTTTTACTTTCTGTATAGTAGGGTTGTGAGCCCCAACCCAGATTATTATTTTTTTTTGTTCCTTGATTTTGATTAAGCGGCAATTTATTTTATAAATTTCGTAATAGAACATATCATTACATGTTTAGTAACTTTAGTTTATTGGACATTTGGGTTTCCTCTTACTAGACTCTAGATACCGGTTAATAGTTATCATATTGAGAATGAAAGAGAACAAGAGGCATATGATGAATTCCATGTATTAGAATCACACATTATATTAGGAGTCATAATACAAGAATAGTTGCATGAATATACAGTCACACTAATTAATATAGTTACATAACATATAATCTGGCCTGTTTACATTATTACTATAATTATTTATCCATCAGCATTCTTAAGTTTTATTTTTGTTGGTGCTAAATTGTTTTGGGCCCTTTGTCATTTATTCATTACCAACAAGTGACAACTAACAAAGTTGATCTTATTGATTGAATATATGTAGGTAACTGGATCCAAGTTGTGGCGGCAAGTAGGAGAGTCTTTCCACCCCCCTAAGTAAGGCCTAAATTTTATTGTTTTGTAGTTCTTACTAATCCCTCATAGCCCCATCCATATTGTATTTATGCTATTTACTGTCATTGATGAACTCTTTGTAGTCTTCTGAGTTGCTTATGGCTGATTGTTAGAAACTTGTGTAATTTAGTTTCTAAAAAATAAAGGGCCTAATTGCTTTTTTTCCCCCCTAGTTTGGCCCATGTGTGATTTTAGCCCCTTAAAAAAATTATGACCCAATCAAGTTCCCTTATTTTTAAAATTAAGCTAATGTGATCCACATGTTAACTTGCCAATTGCCATCCAATTGTTAGTAGAGTTAGCTGAATGGCTGACAGTTTTGCAACGTGGCAAGTCATTGTGCTGATTTGGATTAGCCAATCACAATATGCTACATCAGAGGAAATTATTAAAAAATAAAAGACGTAATTATTAATAACATCATGAGCTGAAAACTTGAGGAAGCGTGGTTAAATTTGGAAAAGTAAAATAAAATCTGTGAATGGTTTTGGGGTTTCTGGAACTTGGTTATTGAGGTTCTTGTGAATTGAATGAATGAAGTCAAGTGGTTGATTATCAGATTCATTGACATAAGTCAACAGGTGGTAGGTGCGAATTATCTGAAGCTTTTTTTCTCTCTAATTTACACAAAAATAAGGAAAAAACATTGATTGTCTACACGTAGTTGAGAGGAGAATATACGAATTATCTACCGTCTTCCCTTTTGATTCTTGCACCTTAACCATCATCTAATAGGTTGTCTTAGACTTCAAAACCCATCATCTGAACCTGTATTGTTTGCTGAATAGCTTGTAATAAGATTCTGTGTAAACTTGAATGAATACAGTATGCAGTTTATGCATCTGCATGTCTTTAACATTGTCGGATTCTGAAACTATATTAAACAAAAATTGCTTGGATTTAGAATTGGCTATTTGTTATTTTAGCTTGAGGGACACAGGTTTGTGGTGGTGGGGGACATAAACCTAACCATAAAAGCTTGTCAAATACAAAAATACCAGTAAATACCAACCATACAGGGTCAACATGTTGCAGCTCAATCCCAAATTTAAGTAAACCTCGGAGATCTATATATACATACACCATATAACATTATTTATCATTTAATCAGTGTCCAATCTGCTGAATTAACCAGATACAGTACCAAATTAACCATTTAACAGTATGATGGACATTTAGAATTTTTTATACATGCAATTAAGTCAAAATAAAAGCTCTTTCTCAACACTTCATCTAAAACAAATCCCTTGGCTCATTATTATATTGAATACTTTTCTCTCACAGGACTTGTACTACGGTCTCATGGACATTTAGAATCTTTTATGAGAAGGTAATTGATAGAGTTCACTCATCTCTTAATTATTACAAAGGCTCCATCTCTGTTATTGTAATAATTGATTAATTAGAGTACAATTATATTTTGTTGATATGGCAATTGGCTATTATATATTTGTTTTCTGAAATATCTGATTACCATCAATTTCAGTTTGAATTGATTTCTATTTCATGTTTCTACTCTTTAAATGTTGAAGAAGAAAGAAGTGTGTATGCTGTCTCTACTTCTCCTTTCCATAGCATGTGCTGTCTGTGTTTCAGGACTGGAAGCCAATGAAACTAAAACCAATATTTGCCATTATTATCTGCTTTTCTGCCTTGAATTATTTCAAGTGTGACTTTTGGTGTCTTTTTAGTCACTTGGATAATCTGTCAGTTTCCTTTTTCTTGAATTTTTAATTTGTGCAGGCACTTTTAGAGTATGAAAAACATAAGAGAGAGATTGGGGAGCTACAGCTCCCTGTTGGATCATTTCATCAATCTCCAAATGTGGAAAAAGAGGTTTGTATAATGTTCTTTCTTTTCTTCCCCTCTTGTTCCTTGATTTCATGCTCAAATGAAGATTACTTTAATTATATAGGATCATATCTTTTTTTCCTTTGTCATATGAACTTGAATAGAGCTCCTTCTTTCTTTGGTCATACTCCCATTTTGCTAGGCACACAAAAATTCACTGAAGCTAATACCATTGGATCTTAGGTTTAGGGTTTATGGTTGTGTGAGACAAAAAGGAAAGTCTTAGGTTGTGTTTGATTTCTATTTTCAAAAACAGTTTTTAGTTTTGATATAATGAATAAATTTCTGCAAAACGCTGACAGGCCATGTCTCACAACATGTAGTACTACTTCAGATGACCCATACCCTTGAGCTAGGATCACAAAACAGCAGAAGAGAATGAGAAAACATCTCCAATGGGTTTCTATTTATTTGATTTAAAAAAAAAATACTTGTTATGTCAATTATTTTCAAAGCTTGTAGGTTTTTAGGCTTTTTGTTGGGTAAAGTTAAGTAGAAAGATTAAGGAAATCAACACTGTATATTTAATCATTGCAGTGATTGATAACTTTTGAAGTATGCCACAAGAAAGAAGAAACATAAACCCAAAAACTTTGTAATGTAAGTTTTCCATCACAAAAACTAACTTGTCATAGATACAATTGGAATTGAATATAATTATTAGGGAAGATACTGTATTTTCTCATCTATTAGAAGGACTACATTTCACAAACACCCATGAACTTCTAGTAATCAAACAAAGCATATTAATAATAACGGAGAACTTGTGCATTGTATCTACAGACCAACTCAGCAACTAGAAACCAAAAAAATTTGGCACATAAGTTTTCCATCAACAAAAGCTAACTTATCATAGATGCATTTGGAATTGAATATAATAATTATAATTATAAGGGAAGATACTAAGTATTTTATCATCTATTGGAAGGACTACATTTCACAAATACCCATGAATGTGTAGTAATCAAACAGAGCAGATTAATAATGAGGGATAACTTGTGCATTGTATCTACAGACCAAACTCAGAAACTGCTGGAAATCCTAATTCCTAAATCACTTCCTTAGAATTTTATTTTAGAGCCTAACTCATCCCACGAAACCAATTAGTAAGTAAAAACTGCATAACTTTATAAGTTTTATTTAAGCCACATCTCTAATTGATGTGGGACTAAACCACTATCCTTGATGTTGTAATTAAGGCAACCTCCAAATAGGCCACAACTAAGGCAAGCTAGGAGTGACCGCAATTCAAGTGGTTATCCAACACTCCCCCTTATGCCCAAGACTCCTAACCCGGAGCATGACATATGCAGGTGGTCCAATGATAGATTTAGGACACGCTTTGCTACCATCTTATAATTTAGTCTTAGGGCTTAACTCATTCCTACAAAATTGACTTATAAGATGAGGATTGCCAAGTTTTATTTGCTTTATTTAAGTCATATCTTTAATTGATATAAGACTAAATCACCACCCTTGAGGCTGAAATTAAGGCAACTTCCAAAGAGGCCACAACTAAAGCAGGCTAGGGGTGACTGCAATTAAAGCAGTTTTCAACACACATCTTCCTAATCTTCAAAGATGAATACTTTAAGGACTGGAGTTTTTGCTGCAAATCAAGTTACCCTGTATTTCCTTCTTAACGGGACAAAATGGTTAATTTGAGGTAGGGGTGTTTAAAATCAAACTAACCCAAATGGAAAACCAAAAAGTGACCCCAAAAACCAATGAAAAATAAAAAACAAGCTGTTTTGTTTGAATTTTTATTTTCCTAAACCACACGGTTCGATATGATTTGTGGTTTGGGAATGTGAAACCAACTTAAACCAAACTAATTATATATAAGTATGTTTTGTCTTGAATGCACAATAGCAAGTAATTAAATTAATTTGTTCTAGCGAGTAAATTTATATTTTGGCAAGACTTTCCTCCTTTAATTTCAATGGCTAGCATCCTGGCAACAAGTAATATGTACTATTGTTCATCCTTGTAATTTATTGTTTTTTCGCTTTTAGTCCCTGTAAAAAAAATTGTTATTTCATTTCTAATCTTTTATAACATTTCAAAAATAATTTGTCATTAACTTCTGTCATAAAAAATCTTATATAGCAAACAAAAATACATATTATATTCATTATATTTTACTTTACCATTGTCACATAGGTAAATTGATTTTAATTTTTTTAAAACAAAATTTCAAAACGCACTTTCACCATACTCTTCATGTCGCATCCTGGCTATGATCGGTGGCAGAGTTAAATTATCGGTGTCCCTTCTCCGATGAGATGTCTCGCTCATCACTGTTGTGACAATCGCAGTAAGCGACAATGGTCTTTACAGTCTTGAGCCAATTGGCACATGAGCTCTTGTATTGGAGCCAACAGAGTGGTGGATGCTCTTGTGACGCATAATCTCCTACACAATGAGGGAGTAACCAAGCATGATGTTGAACTCCTCTATCGTGAGGTGGAGGCCTGTGGTGACCTCATAGAGGCAATGGTTGTTGAGGGCAAACTCGATGTCGTTGTCGAAATTGTGGATTGTGAGAAGCTGCTCCTCATTGGGGGGATTGATGTTTGAATTGGGAGATTTAGGGTTTGCAATATCATATTTGAATCGGAGTGGGGAAGCGTGATCATAAGGGGTTTGGGTGCAGTGAAATCAAGTGCATTTTGAAATTTTGTCAAAAAAGAAATTAAAATCAATTTACCTACATGATAATGATGAATTGTAATATAACAAATATAATTTCTATTATGTTTGCCACGTAGGATTTTTTCTAACAGTAGCAAACGGTGAAGACTATTTTTGAAACATTATAAAAGGTTAGGGATGAAACAGTGACAAAATTTGCAGGGACCAAAAGTGAAAAAACGGTAAATTACATGCACGAAAATTATATTTAAACCTGTACTATTTTATTTAAATTTGGTGACTTTTACTTTAATTTCAATGGCTAGTAGCAAGTAATATGTATGAATTACAACATACATTCATAACATTAAAATAAAAAAAACTCTGAAGGACTATTCTTGAGAAAGGAATAGAATATTTGATAAAAATTGAATGCAGAATACTATCTTTCAAACTGGAAATCAGGAAAACGGAATGATGGGTTAAAGAGTTTCTAGATTATTGACAATTCGTAACAGCATTTACATAGGGGATAAGTCATTAGTCTCTTTCTCTCAAATTCTTTGTACCATATCATCAGTTCATACCAAGTAATTTAAGAAAATGTAAAGGAGAAGCCAAAACAGTTTCTAACAATGCTGGAAATTGCAACCATTGTTGGTGATGCCATCAAATATGGAAGGATGTTCTGAGACCCCAAAGTCCTCAATCTGTGAGACCTCTAATTAAGGGATCATCATAGTTGATCCGTTGCTGCTGGTTCTCTACAGCAAATTGAAATGCGAGGAGTCATGAAATTTTACACAAAACAGCATATTTGAGACAGATATGGGAGCATGTAACATGTGAACCTCTACCTTTATTCTACATATCAAATAATGAGTTTCTTTTGCAGACTGCTGTTTACCAGACTTCTGGCTCAGGTAGGGCACGAAGGGATGCGGCAGCACGTGCAATGCAAGGTTGGCATGCTCAGCGACTTCTTGGATACGGTGAGGTTGCTGAGCCAGTTATTAAGGTCTGTTGAGACCTTTAAAATTACATTTTTATTCATTAGTATTATTTTGTTGTTCAGTCACTCTTCCTTTATAGCAATGATTCTACTACTAGAGTGTTTGTATTTTCTTGCACAGGACAAGAACTTCAGTTCCACACCAAAGCGTGAAAAGAACCTAAAAAGTATTGGTATGCTCACCACAAACGTCACTAACTTTCTCTAAATTAATTGCTATCTCATTTCTTCACGCTTCAATGAATTAGGTATGATTAATAAACAGAGGATGTCGTCTAGTCTGGAGCATGCTGAGAAAGCTGCAAATATCGAAGGAGATCGACAGTTAAGTTACTGGTCTTTTCTGTTAATTGACCTATAGTCCTGTGCATAGATTCATAACCTCTGTATCACTGTTATCTACTACATCCACAATCTTCTATTTCATGGTAGTGGCCACCTACCACCTTAAGTTCTCTTCATTATAACAACTACAGCTGAATAAATTACTTTTGATGTTGCACAATTAATAAATGCTAGTTTTCTATTAGACTCATTGGTTTACAGCATAGTAAAATAAGGAATTAACCAGGACAAGTTGGTGCGTCCTAATCATACTACCTATACATATTTATTCAAGTCCCTAGACATATCTGCATCCTTCCTCCCTGAAGGTTTCTATACCTGCATCTTTCCTCCCCAAAGGTTTTCTGAGCCAAAACGCAGACAAAGTGAATGTGATGTGGATGATCCTTTGGCATTTTCATAAAGTCAGTGAGGATATTCCATTCACTATTACCGATTCCTCAAATCAATTAAGCCACTTATAATCCCTACTTTCAATTTGAAAACGATACATACGCACTGAGATTTTTTCAAGTTTCTTTGTATCTAATGAATCAAGGCTAATTGACTCTTTCATCTAATAGACTGGTCACAGCAGTAGTGGACATTGGACCCCCTGCTGACTGGGTGAAGATCAATGTGCGGGAAACTGTAAGTCTGGTTTTATTCTTTACCTAATTCATGTCCCTTTTATGTAACATAATGGCAGATTCTCTCTCCTTTAAATAGGTTTTTTTTTTTAAATAACCAAGTAATTTTTTTACTCTTTGCTGTATCCATGTCCAGAAGGATTGTTTTGAGGTGTATGCACTAGTTCCTGGGCTCCTTCGTGAGGAAGTAAGCACCGTGGCTCCTCGTCTTTATCTATTGTTTATTTTTATGCATAAAACTGGCTTGATATTTGGGAACTTTATTTTTTTGGGTGAAACATATGCAGGTTTAGTTGTCAAGTTCTTCGTATCCAACAATGAGAGTTAATAAAAATAATTATTAAATCCTTGAATTTATTAAATTGTATTATCCAACAAGTACATTTTATAATTTCTACTTATCTATATTGGCTTCTTTTTTTTTTTGTGACGAGGGTTCTGCCAACATAGTTTGATATATGTTTGTAGTTAATTTGACATCATTTGTCATGTTAAAAACTACGGCGTATTTACATAGTCTCGGTTTTTTAGTCATGATATATTTAATGATGGGAAAAAGGTTCTTCTAAGTGAGCAATGGTGTATTCACCCTTAATTTTATGAAATTGCACCGTGATCATGACCTATTAAATGATCTAAAGATTGGATAAACCTTAGTTGCTCATTTTAGAAACAAACTCACTTGGAATGAGTATTTTCCTTTGCGATTGATTATGGCTTTCTTGATTTCTACTTTTATTATTAACTTGGTTTTAATAAGTACAGGTGCGAGTCCAATCAGATCCAGTTGGACGTCTTGTTATAACTGGTCTGCCAGAACACGTTGACAATCCATGGGGAATTACCCCCTTCAAAAAGGTAACTACTTTTTCTTAACAGATATCTTGGTATATTGCTATTTTCAGGAGGATAGTGTGATGTTGAGTAATAACAGAATTTATCATGTTATGACGTAGCATCTTCGTTGAAAGTGGTTGACTGAAATTTGCTTGTTTTTTCAGGTTGTGAACTTACCTGCAAGAATTGATCCGCTTCAGACATCTGCTGTTGTTAGTTTGCATGGTCGACTATTTGTACGCGTTCCTTTTGAGCAGGGAGCTGTGTGAATGTTCCTCGTATATCAAATCTCCCTTTAAGGGGTTAAAATTAAACTTTCAGGGCGTGGGTATGTTTGGTAGTATAGTCTTTGCCCTGTTGGATTAGTCAAACTACCACAAACTTTACCATTTTTTTAGGTGAAAAATGCCTAATTTCACTAATACAATCAAATGCCTTTTTATCCATATACGAAAAAAATGGACTTTTTACCCTTTTATATTTGTGTTGGCGCATCATTAGCAATAGTCTTAGTAGTGGAGGGCTCGTTGCTTACTTAAGTGTTAAATGAAAATGTTAGTCTGGCAAAAAGACAATCAGGAAGGTCCTGATAGAAAATGATAGGATAAAACAATAAAATAAATTTTAATTTTATTTGTTGTTAAATAAAAAAAATGTTAGCCACTCTCTTTAATTTTAATTATAAAAAGCAATATGAATTTTTATATAATTCTAAATATAAGCAATAATTATTAGATTTTAAACGTATTTATGGTTAAATTTTTTTATACGTTTCATTTAATGTTTTATTTTTTATACGTTCACTTATATCTAATAATCACTTAAAATGAAAGGTGAAATAAAATTTGAATTTAGAATAAAATTAATTAAAACTAATTATATTAATTTTTTTTATATTGATGATCTGTACTTGTAGTATTTTTTTTAATATTCTCTATTATTAATTAAAAATTATAAATTTTGATAAATTTTACCACTAAATTACAAATTTTGATATTCAATAATGTGTATGTGAAAATTTTAGATTAGACCTAGTTTAATCTTATAAGTTGCTTCATGAGATAATTAGATCTCTCCTATTTATGTATTATTTCTATTCTTATTTATAAGATTCAACTTAGAGTAATGATTTTTTATATATAAGATTTAATTTATATTATTTCATATATTAATTATTTTTAGATTAAAATATTTTGAATTAAAGTATATTTTCTTAATTTAATAAAATATATTAATTTATATATATATTAAGAAAGAAAAGTAGTATAATGGTAGTTTTAAATAATATGTATAGGACAAATACATTTTTATATTCTTAAAGTTTTTTAAATAAGAATCTTAGTTTTCTATAATTATTTATAATTTAAAAAAAAAGAAAAAAAAAAGATTTTTAAGAATATAATTTTTCAAGAATCATTTTTTTTTTACTTAGAATCCAATTTTTTTAAATAAGGAAGAAAGTTTTATATATATAAAAAAAAAATAAATAAAAAAAGATTATAGTATCCTTTTTAAGACAAAAAATATTTTTCTCCTTCTCTTTCTCCCTCTCTTTCACTCTCACTCCCCCTCTCACTTTTTTTGTCTCTGTGACTGTCTCCCTCTTCCTCTCTCTCTTATATTTCTCTTTCTTGTTCTTTATCTCTCTCACTCTAAGTTTTGCTCTCTTCCTCTCTCCTTCTCCCTCTCCCTCTCTCTCTCTCTCTCTCTCTCCCCCTCACTCTTCCCTCTCCCTCTCCCCCTTCCCTTCTCTCTCTCCTTCCTATATCTCTATTTTTCTCTCTTTTTTATATATAATTATTTATTAATCTTGTCAATTTTAATAATATTATTAAAATCTATTTTATTTCTATATTTTAATGGTATTTGTTAACATTTTTTATTTTTATTTTTTTTATTTGAATGAAATAAAATAATATATTTTTATTCTTCTTAATTATAATATAGTATTTAATTTTTTTATTTTATTTTATTTTTTTGCTGAATTATGTATTTAAATAATTTAATAATTTTTTAAAATTTTTAAAATAGTTTAATATCATATTTGTAATAAGATTTTAGTGTATATATCATATTTGTAATAAGATTTTTGTGTATATATATATAATGAGTTTATTTCAATAAAGGGCATTTTTGTAAAAAAATATTTATAAACTCAAGAATATACTATTGTAATCAAACATAAAAAATATTTAATTCTCGATAATCATGTATAAATATTCTTAGGAACTTTTATGTCAAACATGTTTTAGATATTTTTAAGAAATTATTCTCAAAAATCATGATCCTTAGGTATGAAAAAAAAAATTCCCTACCAAACACCTCCTAAATGTCAATTTTGTCTAGTTGATCCTTAAATTTTGTATTCTTTTAAACATAAGAACCTTAATTTCATTTTCATCTTTATTAATTCTTAAAATTTATTCTTTTTGTAAATAGTTTTTTATATTAATTACATTGGAGTTAACTATTATCAAAAAAGAAATTCAACCATTTATTTATTTTAAACCCCAATTTAATTCTAATTTAATAAAAAAAATAACTATTTGTAAAATGAATAAATTTGAAATGAATGTTTAATGTATTTATTTACAAAAAGGTAAAATTTAAGGATGAATTGAAATAAAATTACAGTTTGTAATGTGTTTTTAACAATGTTTATTTATAAATAGGGTAAAATTTTAGAATATTCAATTAAGATGAAATTAAAGTGTTTATTTATAAAAATAAAGGATGAAGTTTACAGGAGATGAATATTATTTTTCCCTGATATAAATGATCGAGAATGATACACATAATTAACAAGATTCCGGTTTATTTTCTTTTTCTCACGATCGAGTATATCGATGGCAAGGATCAAACTGAGGAAGGATTAGTTGATCAGACACTAGCTTACTGCTTAATTGCTTATTAACCAAACACAAGAAAAGAATAATTTGAGTGTTTCCAGGAGATTGTTAAAAGCAATAGAGCCAATAGTGTCTCCACTCCCAAACTGTTGAATTTGTAGTATCTGCTTCATATATCATTTTTACTATCCTACTTTTTCCCCCTGTAACTCAATTCTATTGGAGGATATATATCAAAGCTAAAATTAACACATACTCTGTTAAGGAATAGTTTGTAATTATTACTTGTCTGTGTGCGAAAATATTATAAAGTCATCACTAATACACTCGGCACATTTATTTTTTTATTCGTTATTAATAATAAGGTTTTTAACAATGCACATATTTTTAAATTAATTAAGCTAGATTCTCTTGATAGTATTAAGAAGCGATGGAATAAGCTTATATAGATAATTGTGACACTAAAATGCGACATGAACTTGAGGTTTGGAAATTGGGAAGCAACGTGTGTAAAGCTCACACTTTAAGAAACTGGTGAAGTAATTCGGGACATAAAACCAACCATCTAAAGAAACAAAAGAAAATGCATTTTTATAAAGTGTATTCCTAGTTCAGGTTCCAAGAATATTTTATTATTATTTATTTTATGAGCTCCAAGAATATTTTTATAATTTCAAGTTTCAATGTGATTGCTTCAGGTAATTCTTGACACCCTCGCGCTTGGTCCAATTTACTAGCATGGATATGGATTTTAACATAACCTAAAACGAGTTTTAAAGTGATTTTTTTTATTATTAATAATTTTTTAATAAAATATAAATATTTTAGAAATAACTTAAAAAATATATATATTTATACATATTTTAGAAGAAAAAGAACCTTTTAAAAAGAATTTTTAAAAATACAAAAAATTACTTTTAAATCATAGAACCTTAAAAAAAAATATAAATATTAATATAAAATATGTTTTTTTTTTAAAAAAAAAAAGACTTAAAGCAAGAACTTTATTAATCTTATCCTTGAATTGTCTCTGTGGATTTTCGTGATTTGCTTAATTTGTGTTTCTCTTGGCAAAACAAGCCTACAAAATTGTTTTCAGGATCTGTAGAATTAATGAAGGGAGGACGCGAAGTTTTAAAAAAAAAGTCATTTTTATAATACATCAGTTTTATTATTTCAACATTACCCCATATGAACTTTATATAATTAATTCATATCTCTCACTTTTAATTTTTCGTATTTCAATAGTACACATAAAAATCGCAGAAACTTAGATGTTAAAAAATCATTTTTCAGAATATGTTGATGTTTGTGCAGCCGGCAAAAGAGCGTTTTTCTTCAAGTGCAGTCGTTCATGACCGAACAAATGAAGTGTAAGCCTAACACTTGATTTGGTCAGAAAAAGTTTCGGTTGGGAGTAGAAAAAAGCAATATATTTCAAATTCAACATCGCTTCCCAATGTTGAGATAGCAAAAGCAGGAACTAGGGTTGCGTTTTCTGACCTTGGAGAAACCGACTCTAAGGTGCCTTAGAAACATCAAGGCCCATGTAAAAAAACAAGTTAACAGATCCAAATGCTATAAAATAATAACTCTGCATTTTGGGGTTTCTGATCTGGTGGTATATATCACTGAATTGAATAAGACCTAGCTAACAAAAATCGAGCAGAAGCAGTAGGGCATATACATGGCTATTAGATGGAAAATAAATAATACTATAGTTGATGCCTGTAAGAATTTAGGAGTCAACCCTAATTAAATTAGGTATCATATGATAAAGAAGCCACTAATTATTTGCTTCAGCAGACAAGAGCGGTGTTGTGGGTCTAAGCGTTCAACATTATATGATAATTTATACTATAGTTCCAATGTTTGTTTATATAAATGCTGACTTTTTATTATTAAAGTAGCTAACTAGCAAGGTTGAGAAGATAAAAAATTATGACATTGATCAAAAAAGGAAAGAGTAATACATATGCAGGGTGGCCAAAACATAGTTAAATTTGAAATGATGAGTTGCTGCACATATAATAGTGATGTAATATCTTACACCAAGGTTGGATATGGATATGGATATGGATATGACTAGAAAGGAGGCTTAGGTGCATTTGCAGTTGTAGTTGCACCCCATCCAAATAGGTCACCCTGCAGGGACGCTGAAAAGGGATAGTTCCTTCCATCCGCCACCTGTCCCATTCCGGTGACGCCACGTGCTGCCTCATCATCATCACCGTCTCGGTGATTCAACGGCAAGGGTAACCTCTCGAACATGGCGTTCGCGAAGGAAGCAGCCACCAGCACCACGTGACCGGAAGCAACCAGAGGCGCCACCACCACGCCACCCACCACCTGCCCCTGCGCCCCCGCCAGATACACCGACAGCCCGTCTGATCCCGCCGGCGCCGGCGGCGGCAGCACCGTCCCCGTCATCGAAACTATCTCGAACCGCCCCTGCAGCGTCACCACGCTCCCCGCCGGCTGCCGGAGCGCCACGTTCGCCACCATGCCGGAGCCGCTCAGCACGCACACGCCCCGCCCTCGGCGCCGCGCGTAGCTGGAGAGGCTCTCCACCACGTCGGCGCCGGCGGTCACCTCCAGCACGTGCGAGCGGAGCACGTTGGGGCTGTCGCGCGTCACCACCACGGGCGCCTTGGGCTTGTTCTTGGAGCCCGGAGGCCTGCCGCGTGGGCGGCGCCCCCCGGAGGAGGTCCCTTCTCCGTCTTCGTCGGAGTGTTGCGTGGGCTTTTGGGCCTGCAGGCTTAGGGCTGGCCTCATCAAAACCTGCGGCACAACAAAGCTATCTAATTGGGCTTCTCTTCCCTCAATAATATTGTAAGCAGCCATCACAATCTCTCAGATCCAAATTAACACAACAAGTAACAACACTCATCATACTCAATACTTTATATAAATAATATACATACCTATACCTAGCTTAACTAAGTTCTACTTGTACAATATATATGATCCATGCCCCACAACACACAACACACGAGACCAGAAGATGATTAATTAAATCTCTAGCTTGTTTCAGTTAGTTTACCTGGCAAGTGTGATGATGAAAGAGTCAACAAATTAACATGACACAGCTCAGACACCGACAAGAACCGAAGAATATGAATTTGAAATGATGATTTATGCAAGTTGAGTGCCCCCAGTTGATGAAACGCCTTTGAATTTAATTGGAAAATGAAACGCTAGCTGATACTATGATCACTAGTGTAGTTTGTTTTTGCTCAGATAAGAAATGCAGGGTTTCGAGGATGAAATGGAGGAAGGGGGAAGAACCCAACAAATTACCATTACCAAAGACAAAAGCTGTTCTATTCCACTCACGGCATCACCTGCTTCTCTCTCACGCTTGTGCCACACGCGTTCTTGTTCAACTTCTTTTACAAACATAATAAATACCTATTCAAAGGAAGTACTCATTATTTCAGTTCAATTCCTTAATTCATGTGTATATGAAATAAAATATTATTCCAAAAATCTTCCCTTTAGCACTTTGAGTTTGTTTACCTGATGAAAAATTACTCACAAATAAAAACTACAATGATAGTTTAAATAAGTGAATAGGTATGTCAAAAATTTTATACTGCTTCTACAATGATTCATATAAAATATTAGTTAAAAATAATAAAATATCATTCTTTTATCAATATTATATTTCATTTTTTTATTATTAACAAAATTACATATCTTAATAAGTCTCTAATCGTAACAAAAATTTCCAATATGATGAAATTTGTTTTAAAAAATTTAACATACATTTGATTTTTCTTTCATATCAAGTTTTCTCTCAATTTCTCTTCGATTAATTTTCAATATATAATTTGTCATATAATTCAATTTTTTTTCCTTTGTTTTTTCTGGTTATTTATCTCTTATTTGCACTCATGCACTCTCTTTTTGAAATGTATAAATATTTCTCATACATTTAAAGAGATTTCATATGTTTAAGTTAGTTGCATATATTTCATACATTTAAGTTTGTCGACCAATTAATTTTTGCGCATTTCATACATTTAAACTAGTAAAAAAAATTGTGTATTTCATATATTTAAGTTAATTGATCAAATTTTGCACATTTCATGCATTTAAGTTTGCTAATCAAATTTTCATGCATTTCATTCATATATTTAAGCTGGTCGGGTAATTTTTTTCACAATTCATACATTTAAGTCAACCGATCAATTTTTGTACATTACATATGCAACAAGAATAGTTCATTTACATAATTATTAGATTTGGATCTTTTAAAATAATGGGTACGATATAAAGCAATTAATCCGTGTTTTTATGAAAAAAAATTAATGATTAATTAAATAAATAAACATATTTTATAAATATGAAAAGATTAAAAAAAATGGTTTCAAGTAAATTAATGAGAGGATAAAAAAAATTATTTGCTTATAAACTATTAATTAATTCAATTAGCTTATGAAAATAAATTACAAATTCTTAAATAAGTTCATATAAATTCTCATATCAAACAAAATTATTTTGCTCAAAATAGTTTATAAGTTTGTCAAACAAAACTTATATTAAAATACTTTATCAAACACACTTTGTAACCCTCTTTTTTATACATTTAAAATAGTTGGATAGTTTGTGCACATTACACATGCGACAAAAAATATTATATATACAAAATTATTGGATGAATAATTATAATTGTATACCATTTTTACATATATTATTTTCTATTTTATTATTTATTTATTTTTCTTTATTTATCTTTAATATGTACTCATACACCATTTTTTTAATGATGTATGAATATTATAACTTTCTTTTTCATGCATTTGAGGTGATCAATCAGTTGGCCTTTTTTAAAAAATTTGTTTTTCACTTATTAATATATTTAAAAATTTATTTTACATTAATAATATTAAATAGATTAATAATTTTAATTTTAAATAAGTCAATAAATTTATTTTTAAATATGAGTGTGAATCTTTTTTTAATTTTTGTGATAAATAAGTTTAATATATTATTATTAAAATTTAGTATTTAAAATAAAAAATTATTATAAGAGATACAACTCATCACACAATACATTTATATACACTAACGTATGATCACGTACAGATGTAATGAAAAAAGATTATCTCATAAAAAAAATTATAAATATTTCTTATATCTCATTTGAAATATTCTAAATAAACAATTATAAAAGATGAAAGAAAATTGCAAACAAAGATGCAATGGCTAGATTTTCTATGTTCTATTTTTTTTATGATCAGAAAATGTAAAACATTTTAATTTAGTGAAAATGTCAAAAATATTAATTATTTTATTTTTGTTTTACAAATTTATTTACTTAATTATATTGTTAATAATCTAATATATATATATATATATATGTGTGTGTGTTTTAGCATATTAGACCTAACATACTTTTTTATTAATCTAACCCTAACTTTTTAAATAAATAGATTATTTAAAAGTTTAAATATGACTTATTTATTCAATAGACTAGATCAAATAAGACTCTACGCAAATCAGACAATAAACTCTTATTTAAAATTTAATTTGTTCTCATCTCTAATGAAAAAATTATTAAATTTAAGATTATTACCGTTCTATTTAAACTCCTATACATAATTATTGAATTTGAATTTTTAAATTAATCTTAGTTATTATGATAAAATCAATTATTAATTAAATACATAAACATATTTTATAACTTAAAATAGATAACAAAGGGTTTTAAGTAAATTAATGAAAATAAAAAGAGAGAGAAAGAAAAATAAGTTAAAATATTAAACAAATTTATTGTACTCGAATTAGCTTACAAGCTAATCAATTAAGTTTAAAATATTATTCGCTTTGTGACTAAGCTATCACAGTTTTGCTTTTAGTCGTCATCTAAAAAATTTCTCAATCATTGAAGTATATATATGTATTTTATAAATTGTTATTTATTCTCTTATTTTATCGATATAAGACTTGTTTTTATTTCAATATTTTATAATACTTTTTTTCATACATTTAATTTGATTCATCAATTTTGGAACATTATACATATGACAAAAATAATATGCATAAATAATAATTATACACAAATACTAATTTTACATATACTATTTTCTCTTTATTTATCTATTATTTGCATTCACACACATTTTTTTAAGTTAGTCGGTCGATTTTAAGTCAGTCAATTTCCCATAAATTGAATATCATAACTCTTTTCACACATTTAAGTTGGTCGGTCGACTTTTCCCCATTTCATACATTTAAACTAGTAAATTAGTTTTTGCGCATTGCATACATTTAAGTTAATCGATTAGTGTTTTCACGCATTTCATGCATTTAAGTCAGTCAATCAGATTTCACACATTACATATACCACAAGAATAGTATACATACATACTTATTGGAATTCAATTATTCTGAATTGGGTATGATAAAATAATTAATCTTAGTTGTTTTAACAAAATCAATAACTAATTGAATGCACGAACATCTTATAAATTAAAAAGGGAAAAATTTTCAAGTAAATTAGTAAGGATATAAAAGAAGAAAAAAAAAAAAGAGAGAGAGAAAATCTAAGATTTTATTATAAGTTATAAACTAATTGATTTATGAAAATAAGTTAACAACTCTTAAAATAAACTCGTATAAATTCTCATATCAAACAAGCATTTTACTCAAATTAGCTTATAAAATAATTAAATGAACTTAAGTTCCTAAAATGTTTTACCAAATACATTTTGTAACTCTCTTTTTCACATATTTAAGTTAATCAGGACAGTTTTTGTACATTACAGATATTAAAAAAAATAGTATATGTACATGAGTATTTATGTTCGTATATTATTTTTTATATATTATTTTATCTTTCTCCTTTATTTCTTCTCTTTATTTATCTTATTTGCAATTATTAATCTTTATTTTGAATGTATGGATATAATAACTCTTTTTTTCATACATTTAAACTAGTAGATCAATTTAGACACATTTCAAATATTTAAGTCATTCGATCAGTTTTCACTTATTTATCGATCAATTTTCACACATTTAATATATTTAAATTAATCATTAATTTTTATGCATTTCATACATTTAAGTTATTCAGTCAGTTTTTGCAAAATACATATATATAACAAGAATAGTAGACATACATAATTATTAAATTTATTTCTTCTAAAAATGAGCAGAATAAAAGAATCAATCTTAATTATTATGACCAAATCAATGATCAATTTGATACACAAACATATTTTATCATATATATATATATATATATATATATATATATATATATATATAAAGGCAGATAACATTTAACATTGAATTTTTCATCAACCACTGAAATTACTTATCCCTCTTTTTAAAATAATTATTCATGTTATTTCTCAAAACAGTCAATTATTTTAGAGAAGTGACATCCATAAATATTATATTGTTCATTACCATTTGCATGAATAAAATAAAGAAGAAGAAAAAAACGATTAGATCTCACGCGCACCTTAAAGTATCTATGTTGTCTCGAACATGTTTTTTATATTCGCATTCATGAGAAGCAAATAATTTGTCTGCTTTTTAAGCTAAAAAGAAAGATTATATACATAAAATATAAAGAAATGACTCCAAAAGTTATTTAAAAATAAATATAAAAAGCAGGAATTATAAGAGGTGCAATCCCATCATACAAGTTCATCAAATGTAATAATGCTGACGATTATTGAAGAGATAGTAATGGGTAACTATAGAGTTTAGAAACTGCAAATTTCTCTACCATTGAATAATTGATGTTATAAGCAATCTACCACTTAGTGAGAATAGGAACACCATATTTATAGCAATGCTTGGTTCAAATACGTGACTCACTAACTCAGCACACATCAAACCCTGAACATTGGCTTGTGACTTAGGCATTTTCACTAAAACACTGGCCATTGATTCTGTTCTGATCGTATCGAAAATTCGTAATAAATAAGTGTGACTTTAAAAGTTTAAACCCACGCATACAGGAGAGGGCCGTGGTATAACATAGTCGCGTTTATTAATACAAAACAAAAAGACAAGATATTTTAAGAAAAACGTCTGCAAATAAAAAAGAAAAAGTACAAACAGAATTACCATATTTTTATTAGTTTTTTTTAGTGGAATTTTTTTTACTATTATATATAATTAAATATTGTTAAAGTTTCTAATTTTTTGTTGTTACTTGTAAATCTGGTTAAAGGTTACTTATGTTTAAAAGAAGTACATTATGCAAACAAATGATGTTTGCTTATTAATTTAATCATATTTTGTTGTTTGTTTACCCAATTAGAGATTAATCAGTTTTAGTATTTAAATCCTTATTATAAATATTTTTAATGTGTGCAAAACTTAGTTCATAACTCAAATATATTATATTAGTTTTTACTCATTTACTCATTTT